CCATGTGACTTTTACTATTTTAAGTATAAATAAGGCCTTAGTCTTTTCTTCCTGAAGCCGAGAGCCGTTTCCTCATTTCATTTACAGCTTTAATCTAACTCTGTGGGAAGTCAAGGATACACTTCTTATTGATCTTGGTAAGAGTAGGTATTTGATAACAGAATATTAGAATGACTGGGTTTCTCAAGTCTTACTCAAGTAAAATAGATTATGCCAGGGGCGTGGGGCAAATGAAACGGAGGGGTGATTTTAACATGTTAAATTGCTGGTGTCTGGTCAAGTTAGCTCAATTTTAAGATTTCACTCGGTTCAGCTCTGCATGGAGGTACCCAGAGAATAGTAAAAATTAATCATATTGGACATTAAAGGTCCTGATTCAGTTATTGACCACCTAGCTCTGAAGGCATCTAACACGAGGAACGTCTGACCTAAAGGTCCTTTGGGTAACCACATTTTCCTCTATGTGACTAGAACTGCTGCATGTCCCCTGCCCCAGGGGGTGACATAGTCCAGGCCGTAATGTTGGGGGAAGCCCATGGTCAGCCGAAGGTGACTCAGGGCACCAAGTGTGGTGGCACTGCTCCAAGCAGCATGATGTCCATTTCCCCCCTTGAGATTTCTTGAGGTTACCAAACTGGGTGGAGTGAATTTACGCCTTCTGAGGGGCCCAGTCAGTAACTCATAGGATATGGTTCCTCATCAAATGCAATAATAGCCATGTACTTATTAAATCAGACCAGGTGGTGGTGCTATCCACCTTTTATGTAATAGCGCATTTGTTAGAGTGGGGCTGTCCAGCAGGCAGCCGCGAAGAATTAAGCTATGGCCCTGGACTCCCACTCAACCATCACTACTCCCTATCGCTCTGGGTGCAACAGCAGCTCAGGTCTCTATGCTACCCCTTTTCTTCCAGCTTCTGCTACCTGCCCTAGGGAGCTAATGGTGGAGCGGGCCTGGGACAGTGGCTACAGGGAATTTTGGCGTGGCCATAGCCCACTCCGTAGCCCACCCCCCGTCCAGTGCCACCACCACCACCTGCCCCGAGTGCAGCCCCTGGCTCTGAGCCTACAGTGGGCAGCCCGCCCTCTCCCCACACACAGATGCCCCCATGTCTCCCCCAGGGGTGTGCACAGTGGTGGGAAAATGCCCCCTAACCCCCATCCTTCTCCCTGCACCCAGCTCCGTCCCTTACCTTGCCCCAGCTAGGCAGCACCTGCCCCAGCCCCATTCCCTCCCTCACTGTGGGGCCTCAGTCTCGCCCCCACACTGCTTTCCCTCCAACAGACTTACCAGTGGGATGCTGCTATCCAAGCTGCCAGGCTGCATTCCTGGCTGTGTGCATGCTGCAGCAGTGCACATGCAAGCAGCATTTTTTGGTGACATCGGCTATACCAGCCAAAAAAACCCAATTGCCGATAATGTCAATTTTCCTTTTATGGTGCCGATCCAATATGGACCAATATATCAGTTGCACCTCTAACTGCTGGAGACAAACTCTCCCTGTGCTTGAAGAAAGGTGTTTGGACCCTAAAGCTTGCAAAGAACAATTTTTCCAGCTATTTAGTTGGTGTGATAAAAGATATCACATCTGCCCAAAGGGCCTTGTCTGCCTATGATCTCCGGAGACGGAAATCCACAGTTTGAGAACTGAAACAGAGCATCACTGAGATGCTGAATGGGATCTTCTAAACTGAGCACTCAGTCCCATTGGGTAGAGTGGTTTTCTTTAACTTTTACTAATATTTAAAGGAACCTCTGGGAACCCCATAAGATAATATAGTCCGTGGTCTGTTGTGACCTATTTATAAAACTTCTAAAAAGGTTACATGAATATGTTCTGTCAAGTAGTATATATTTAGAAGTTATAATCCCTATTCCATTATTATATTTTCAAGCTTTAACGCATCTTAAATTAAAACTATATATAAGTTGGGTTTTTTTAAACATCTTAACAAAAAAAAAAGGATTAAATAAAAGGAATTTGGTTTAAATAAAAAGTCTGGTGTTTTTATTTTATTTTTTAAATCATTGGTTTTTATCCACCCGTTGTGCGGTGCAGTGGCAGTTGTCCATGCAGTGCATAGCTCAGTGGGCACGTGACATACTGTGGTGCAGCCCTTTGGGGAATGCAGCCCCCAGCTGCTTAGAAGTTAGGTGACCTGTATGTACACTATCAAGGAGGCTGCTTTCAAAGGAAAGAACTATTTTCCAACTTTAGAGTGTAACAGGTTGCATCTCCTGTTGGGTGAATTAAATGATTTTTTTTTTAAATCAACCTATTTTCATGTTTGGCTGAGAAGTTGAGATATAAAGGAATTGCAGTGTAATGGGAAAGGCCACAAATCCCCTGTTTCATCCAGTTCTTATCTCCTGTTCATATTCTGGCTTGTTTCTGAATATAGTGCCTACCTTTCTTAAAAAGAAGAAAAAAAGGAATTGAACTGGTCAGTCTAACTTTGATCAACTGAAAGATACTAGACTAAATAGTCAACCAGTATGAGAAATAAGAGCCAGTGTGGGTTTGTCAAGAGCAAATCATGCTTAACCAAACTGATTTCCTTCTGTGATAAGGTAATGCGTCCTGTAGGTGAGGGAGTGGAAGCGGAGGACAGGATTGTATCTTGATTTCTGTAAGGTTTTTGACATACCTTTGTAATGTCAAGTAAAACTAAGGAAACATGCATCCATGATTGGATAATGATGCTCAAACAGTAGCCATCAAGGGCTCAATATCAAACTAACTGAAAGCATCAAATGGAATTCCCTGTAGTCTGCAGGGTCCAGTGCTGTTCAGTATCTTCATTAATAGCCTGAAGGACACAACTGAATATAGACTAAATAAATTTGCAGATGACACTAAGATGAATCCTGTAGCAAACACTTGAGAGAATAGGATTTAGGATTCAATATGACCTTTATACATTGGAAAAAAATGTTCTGAAATAAATTGGACGAAATTCAGTAAGAAATGCAGAATATGACACTTAAGGAGCAATCAAATGCACAAATTCAACATGGGGAATAACTGGCTAGCCTGCAGTACTGCAGAAGAGTTAAAGTGAAGGCAAACTGAATATGAGTTGTCAGTTTATACTGTTCAGGGTGTAATAAGTAATGTAATGAAAGCAGTGTTGTATGGAAGGCACGGGAAGTGATTCTGCTGATGTATTTAGCAGTGGTGAGTCTTCATTTGGGACCACACTTTGAGAAAGTTAAGAACAGAGAAAAGCAACAAAAATAATTACAAGTCTAGAAAACTTCATAGACGTAGGGTAGGAAGGGACCTTGTAGATCTTCTAATCTGACCCCCTGCCCTGGGCAGGAGAGAATACTGGGCTCAAATTAGCCCAGCTAGGTAAATGTCAAGCCTTCTCTTAAAGACCCCCAAGGTAGGAGCCAGCACCACTTCCCTTGGAGGTTGGTTCCAGATCCTAGCTGCCCTGATTGTGAAGTAGTGCCTTCTAACATCTAGTCTGAACCTACTGTCTAACAAATTATGGCCGTTATTCCTTGTTACCCCTGGGAGGCGCTCGGGGGAACCAGGTCTCTCCCAATCCCTGCTGGTCCCCCCGGTAAGTTTATAGATGGCCACCAGGTCTCCTCTCAGCCTTCTCTTGTGGAGGCTGAACAGGTTCAGGTCCCATAGCCTCTCCTCATAGGGCCTGCCCTGCTGTCCCTGGATCATGCGAGTGGCCCTCCTTTGGACCCTCTCAGTGTTGTCCATGTCCTTCCTGAAGTGGGGTGCCCAGAACTCAACGCAGCACCCAAGCTGCGGCCTGACCAGTGTTGCATAGAGGGGGTGGATCACCTCCTTGGCCCTGCTTGTGATGCATCTGTGGATGCAGGACAGGGTACGGTTAGCCCTACTGACTGTCCCCCCGCATTGTCGGCCCATGTTCATCTTGGAGTCCGTAATGACTCCCAAGATCTCTTTCTGCCACTGTGCTTTCAAGAAGGGAGTTCCCCAGCCTATAGGTATGCTGCTGGTTCCTACTGCCTAAGTGTACTTGTCAGTATTGAATTCTATGCTATTTGCTTTTGCTCACCCCTGTAACCTGTCCAGGTCCTGCTGTAATCTTCCTTCCCTTCTAGCGTGCCCACCTCACCTCAAATCTTGGTGTCGTCTGCAAATTTAAACAGGTTGCTTTTCACCCCATCGTCCAAGTTCATTTAGGGGAAGGGTGAAAGAATTGGGATTGTGTGGCCTGAAGAGAAGACTGAGGGATAATCTGATAAGGCGCTGTATAAAAATGTTTTTGTATTAAGAGCATGATTTTCTGGACTTGACAAGATATTATGAACTTAGGTTGCAACAAGGGCTGTATAGCTTAAATATTGGGAAGATGTTTCTGAGACTGTTTACGTGGTAGAGGAGAGGTGAAATCTGTCATTTGATGTTTGTAAGAGTAGGTTTAACAAAAATTTCTAGTTTAGACCAGTTGGATTGGGTTGAAAAGTTGGATTACATGACCTCTTGAGGTCTCTTCCAGACCTGCTTTGGTATGTTCTTACTGTAGTCATCTTTCCCCAAATACCAGCTAATACTGTCATTTTAGTGCCAGATGATTAATTGGTGCTGCTGATGGGCCCAGCACTGTTCATGGGTGGGGATTTCTGATAGGCTTACCTGCCAATTGTGGGAGTGGTTGCTGTTGGTGATAGATATTTTAAAGATCAGTGTCCCTTGCCTAGTCTCTGACCTGTCCTTTTCTGGTGCTGTGGTTGGCACCAGTAGTATCATGTTGTGAAAATGTCTCTGTTAAGCAGTAAACTCTTGCTGATTATAATTAATTCATTAATCTGGTCAGACTTGCAAACACAAATAACCCCTCCAAAATCTAGTTGTAGAAATTCTTAAAGCTTAACCTTTTTGCATCCATTCTTCCTGTGCAAGTTCTCAGGTCAAAGAGTTAACCAAAAAGGAAGGGGAATGCCGTGAAAAGTAGTTCTGCAGTAGCAGCAAAATGTAATCGTCCACTTGCTTTCCATTTGTAGGTGATATTGGAAACTATTATTATGGCCAGGGCCATCCCATGAAACCTCATCGGATCCGTATGACCCACAACTTGTTGCTAAACTATGGCTTGTACAGAAAAATGGAAATTTATGTGAGTATAAACAGAAGCATAAGCATTAAATGTAATTAAACTGTTTTTAAAGGAAGCAGCAAATCTGAGTGTTTTTCCTCAAGTAAAAAATGGAAATACTTTGAAAGTGTTGCAGCTTTAATACAACTTTGACTTCCTCATCCCTGCATTTGGGTTACATTATTGTTCTTTCTTTCCTGATGCATTAAAATGAAATTTAAACTTTGTAACATACAGGGCCACAGCTTGCTATCTGTAGATGAAGCAAAATTAAGTCCATAATACATTTGTGGTGTCCCATTCTCTGCCCGCCCCCTCCCCCCCACATAACATTTGACTTTTTGTTCATTGTTCTGCTATCATTAATCATACTGATAAAAAAATATATGGACAATTGCATTAAAAATATTTTGGTGTTTTTATTGACAGTTGCTGCCCCTCTTATCCCCCTTGATTCTTTTTCACTATCTACTAATAATTGCTGTAGGTTGATCAGTTACAATACACATTGTATCTGACTTGAATAAATTTGTTAAAGATGGAATTTGTCACAAAATTCTGGTGTTTATTAGAATAAAACCCATTTTAATTATTTTTGTTACCAGCGACCTCATAAAGCTACAGCTGAAGAAATGACCAAGTACCACAGTGATGAATACATTAAATTTCTTCGATCAATAAGACCAGACAATATGTCTGAATATAGCAAGCAGATGCAGAGATGTAAGTCTTAGCGTTGGGATAAATTTGTGTTTGTATGCTCTTGTTCTAGATCCCTCTGGGTTGAAATGGAAGCTAAGTGATGTAGGACCCATTGCATGTGGGTAAATTCAATTCCCCAAGTTTTTCACTTCTTGATTACCTGTGTTCAAAGGCAACATCTTGAAAGAGAAATGGTACTTCCTGTTCCTTAGAGTTGCAGTTCCTGGGCAGTTCGGATGCTTTCACCTGGTATCTCTAGTATCACAGATATACAAGCAGCCTCTAGACCAGTGGTTCTTAACCTTTTTGGACTCAAAGCACCTCTCAAACTTTTGTGAATTGAGTGGCACTCAGTTTCCAAAATTAACTTGTATATTGCAGTGTTTGTTTATCACCTTGCAGAGGTGCTGGGCAGTGGGGGATTGGCCAAGCAGGGACAAGTGGTTGAGCATTACAGTTCTAGTCGCTTGCACTTTTTAAGCTGATATAGACATTTTTCCTAATTCTTTGGGAAATGTCTGCTCTCCACTGTTCGCAATTACCAGTAGTTGTTACCTTGTTGCTCAGAGTGCCTTGCCTCTAAGAGCAGCCTTGAAATGGGTAGAGCGCAGTCAGTTTCAGAGTTGCTAATAAGACAGGAGCTAAAATGGGCCTTTGTGTGGCTTGGAACACATCACACAAGGAAAGAAGTAGTAAAATCTTTTAGTTGAAATAAGCTTAGGTAGACAGAGGCTTGAAGCTAGGGAATAGAAAGTGGGGGGAGGGGGGCATCTTAAAGGGCTTAGCAATTATTTGTTCCTCTCCCTTTTATCAGGCAACTTAACACTTTTTAGAACCTAGCATTTTGAATTGCAGTTTAGAAAGCTATTTAGAATCTTTCATTTTAATTGGTGTTATAAATAAATTCAGTATTCTGCATTTATGTGCATATACATTCCTAGTTCACTTAACTGCATAACAATACCAGTCCCAATTTTTTGTAATAAACATCTGTTATCTGCGCTTCAGTTAAAGGGAAAAATATAGCATCTTTCAGCCCCCACCATCTACTTTATAATGCAGTTGTACTCTGTTTAATGATTAGTTTTAGAAACTGAAGAGGAAGCAGCAGTCCAAGGGTTAAAATTGACAGAGCCAGTCAGTTTGTGGACTACTAATACCACAACACTGACAGTGTTGTGTATTTAATGAGTTTTGCTTAAACTAAGTTCAGATAAGTACACAGCCATTTCAAAGCCAACTTCAAGTACTTATTACAGGATACTCCATTTTGTACAAGTTTCTGCAGACATTCTGGATCTTTATACTTAAACTGATTTCCAGACTGCTACAGCTGCTCATATATTTAATCTTTTGGAACCAAGGCCTGTCAACTCCTGTGGAAAACTGAACAAAAACAAACCACCTGTGTTTTGGCTACAGTTTGAGCAGCCTTATAGAAATTGTCTACCTATAGTTTCATTTGGTTTCTCGAAAGTGTGTTGACTCTGTAAATGCCAGGTTTTGGTACAATGTAATTTTGAACCATTAAATACCTAAACATTTTAAGTGTTTATAAAATATTAATTGAATTTGAACTTGTTGACAGTACCACCAGTTAAATTTGAATCTCCATGAGGAATAAATGTGTGTGTAAGAACTTTGTGCCTTACAACTGTGATCTTGAAAACTAACAGCACTTTTCCTAAACAGTTAATGTTGGAGAAGATTGTCCTGTGTTTGATGGACTGTTTGAGTTCTGCCAGTTGTCAACAGGAGGCTCTGTTGGTAAGTACATTCTGTATATGAATGTACTTTTTAGATTTCTGAGATTTTGACCATGTTAATATGGCAGTAGTATTTAAAACCTAGGCAGCAAGATCATATATGAAATATAATCCATTAGGTAGTTTTGAGTTGAATGCCTAGTGTGATTTGCAGTCTTAAAAGGTAAGAGTGCAGGTTCATTCTGGATGTTATAAAGAAATAACTTTTAACAGAATGAATTATCGGTTATTCTTAAACACTTTTGGAGATTTTAACTAGTTTTCCTATTTGTTTGTTTGTTTAGCTGGGGCGGTCAAATTAAATAGACAACAGACTGACATGGCTGTTAATTGGGCTGGAGGACTTCATCATGCAAAGAAGTCAGAGGCATCTGGTTTCTGTTACGTCAATGATATTGTGCTTGCTATCCTTGAATTACTGAAGTAAGTTTATTGTAAGAGTCAGAGTATAACTTAACTGCATAAAAATGTCAGAAAACTTGGGGTTAAAAAGTTATAAAGTGGCTGTGGATAATGTACAATGCTTAAAATGTCCTGGTGATATATTTAAACTTATTCGTGGTCAATTTTCATAGTATGTGTTGAACCAGCACAACATGAATAAAAATCTTTCCCCGGTTGGCATTACTGCAGAAATTCTAACTAAACTATGTACAAGCAAGGAAGATTAAATATTCAAGTCATGGCTAAATTTGGCCGTTAAAGACTGTAAGGATACCTGCCAGTCCTCTAAAGGGAATCTACCTTTCAATTTTATATTGACCAGATTAAAGAAATTAATTAAAAAAAATAAGTCTAAAGTGTGACCATAAAGTTCTCTGCCTACCTGCTTTCATTATTTTCATTGGGAATTTGTTGAGGAAGTATGACAGCAATGTCCCAACACTTCATCAAGCCTTCTGTTTCTCGGCGCACACTTGTCTGCTTTCTCTTCAGTTTCAAGTTTGGTGCCACTTTTGTTGGTAGAGACTCTCAGAGAAAATGCGTGTGAACAATCCTAGAGCACTGTATGTAATATAATCAACCATAGATAAGTGACCTGTTTGTGTAAGTGAAGTTGACTTCTCCAGTACAAGCATCACCACCAGTGGTACGTGATTGTCTGTTTCATTAACTCTGATGACTCTAGTCCCTAATCAAATAGAAGCAGATTGGAAGAGTCTTAATGTTAGAAAGACCAGCAGCAAAGAGCAATATATATCAGGATTTAAATCTCCCATCTTACCAAATTCTTCAATGCATCAAAGGAAGTGACTTTGCAACTCAGCCAGAGAAAATAGCCAATGACTCCAATTTCATTGTATGTAAATGAGCAAAGCAGAAGAAAATTCCAAGAGCAAAGGACTCTTTACTACTTTTAAGAATTCTATTCTGTTTCATGTACTAATTACATAGCTGTATTTAAAAACATTTTCTTTCTTTTGAAAACATTATGTCCAAAAACAATACCTGGGTGTACTATATCAATTTATAAAAAGCTTTAGTGAATGGCTTCTGGGACTTCATTTTTCTGTATCAGTATACAAATTGATGCTCCCTGAAGTTGACAGGCTTTATTTTCAGAGGGCCTTCTGGGTCTTTGAATTTTGTAAAGTTTCAGATAAGTGTCATATAATCCCTTTCATAAACTGATATGAAATGCATTAGCACATACTAGTAGAATATTATTCTAATGCATTAACAAATAAAATGGACTTGGAAGTAGAAATTTGGTTATTTTTGCAAATTTTGCAGATTGGGAGATGGGCAAGCAAGTGAAAATTGGGAGTTCACAGGAACTATCTTTTGATTCAGCCCTTTGGCATGGGCATAATGTTCTTTGTATTCTGTAAGAGTTTTTCACACGCAAGTAAATTTTACAATAGCAAGCTTTAATGGCTGTTGAAGAGACTGAAATAAAATGTTGCCAGAATGAACAAAAACAGATCTTGATGTTGAAAATAATGGATGAGCTCCAGTAGATCTGAATAAGTAAGATTAGGGGAGTCATTTGAGCATGTTGGGGATTATGGGGAGAGCTTGGGTGTTTAAAGAGGGAATCAGTTTGTTAAGGATCAGTAATTGTGTTAAATTGTCTTTTCTTGTTTTAGTTGGGTATAGTAACTTCATAGTCCTTTTTCATAATTTAGAAAATTATGATTTCATTTCTTGTACTACATTTTTGTTCAAACTTTAAATGTCTGTATATCAGACTTAACCTGAATCATGATACCACTTTCTTTTCTACCTTTTTTGGGAAATGTGATTTTTTTTTTTTTTTTTTTTTTTCCTAGATACCACCAAAGAGTGTTATACATTGATATTGATATCCATCATGGTGATGGTGTTGAAGAAGCATTTTATACAACAGATCGTGTTATGACAGTGTCATTCCATAAGTATGGTGAATATTTTCCTGGCACAGGGGACTTAAGGGTAAGGTTAGACATGAATTTGTTATTCAGATTATCTTTTCACCTTTTTTCCTAGCAGATATCTGCCTTAATGTTTGGTCATAATTACCCCCTTTGATGGTAATAAATACACTGTAATTTGCAGATTTTTTTTTTTTTTTTGCTTCAATCTGTAATTTATACCCTCTGAAAAAGTTTATGGACTCATTGGAATAATCTGTGGAGGTGTTTCAAGCAAATTGATTCATATCACACACAAATTAAGACGTTTCAAGTATGTTAAACTTGGATCGCCCGGGCTTTGGTGGAGTAAGAGGGGGAATTTGTGTTGTAGGGATCTCTTCTGCATTTTCAATCGTATGTATAGAACAAGAAAAATAGTTCTTGTTTGCAAATGATTCATCAGTCCTGAGATTGCGAGTACCTTAATGTATCTGTAAATTTTGACTGTTGCAACCGTTCATAGTTTGGAGCATTGTACAGTAAATATTCACTTACTCCGAAAAGTATCATTTGCAATAGATCACTGATACCCCAGTATGGGTTAATTTAGTAACATTACCATCAAGATAAGCAACTTTGAGAAGTTTAATGTCCCCATGCATTACAGTTAATAGTTTAAAAAAAAAAAAATTGAAGACCTATACACAAGACTATAATGTGAAGGAAAGTACCCTTTTTGATGCCTTTAAACTGCCTCCAGGAAGTCTGTATTTGATACAGTGTCTCCAGTTTTCTCAATATGGAGCTGAGAAGAGGTTGATGATTCACAGAATACTGTAGCAAAGAAAGTGTTAAGTGGTAAGCCAGTAATGAGCAAAATGTCCATCTTACTCTGGCTGAAGGCAGTTACACATTTCTAGCGTTGCTACATTTTCTAAAATCATTCCTAGATTGCTTTGGATTCAGATTAGATACTGTATTTTGTGTGTTAACTTGAGTGGCCACAAGATGGTACTGTTGCTTTGAACAACTAAACCTGGATACTTAATTGGCTTAAACTCGGATTTCTCCTGGAGGGTTGGGTAGTTTGAAACTTTGAGAGCCACAGCCCCATGACAAAACATGAAGTTCCCTACTGGCTATACAGAAGATACTGGAATTAAATTTTAAGGTATCTGAAACACAATAAGACAAGTAGAAAAATGTCTGTCTGTCTGTCTGTCTGTCTGTCTGTCTTATGAGTGTAATAGACTTCAATTTCACATGGTTGTAAAAATGCTTGTAATAGTGTTTTGCAATGAAGTAGAATGCAAATTTCTTATTAGACTGGATAGCTACAGAACACAGAGAAAAGACCTCCAAGTTTTTCATTTCTCAAAAGCTTGTAAACCTGATGGAGCACAAAGGCATGAAAACCCTGTTTTATATTTTTAGTCAAGGTAGGGTTAGAGATACTCATCTCAGGACAGCTTGTAATGGTCTTTGTTTGTGGTCTGTGGGCTCAACTCAGATTTGAAATTTCCTCTTAGTCTTGATATAGCAAGTCTGATTCATAGCCAGTATGGCTGTGGTATCTTCCTTGAAATTAAGCAAGGCCACCTCAGTAGTAAAGTATTTACTCGCTTCTAAGGTAGGGTTCTTTACATATTAAACATGGAGAAAATAAAGCCTTGTCCTAGAATCGAGTATGGGACTGCTTCAGCTGGGAGCTGGGACGAGCGGTGATATCCCAGGCTGATCCGGGTACAGTGGAAGCCCCAGAGATGCTTCTGTCCCACACCGCAGGGATCAGCTGTGGAGGGAGCCCAGCCTGACAAGGGGCAGTGGTGGTGAGGCACAAATTTCTTCCTCCATTACATGAGCCCAGCCCAGCTCCCTTTACCTTCAGCTCCCTGCTGACCAGGAGCAGGTGCTGGAAGATGGAACCAATGCACTATGATTGCCATCCATGGCTAAGTTGGGCACCTTTCACAGCTGCTCCCTGAAGTATCAGGAGAGACTCTGGGACTCTCCCAGCATCCAGATCAGTGTAAGGGGGAGGACAGGTGCCAGGGTTGGGAAAGTGGCAAACAGTTAATAGCTGGGGTAGGGGGTGCAGGCCTGGGAAGCAAGGAACAGGGCCATCTGCCTCCTCCCTTGCTGCTTGCTTCCTCCTGCCTCCCCCCACCCCTCTTACCTTTGCTTTCCCCACCACAGTGGTTGGGGGAGACATGTAGGCTGACCCTCCAACAATTAGATTATGTACGTGAAAAATTATAATGAATTTATAATGTATGTATAGAATCTAATTATTGGGCAGTCATCTTAAATTCAGAGTTGTCTGAGCTGTAGATTTGGATAAATATGGTATAGCTTCTTCCTTCAGTAACCCTCCCCAGCTGGTTCTCGGTCAGAGGCTTTTCTTTGTTTCAGCCATGTCAGCTCCATACCCATTAGATAGTTGTTTTCAGCAACTGCTTGGCCTTCTGTGCCACTTGGAGAATGACAAAATAGACCTTTCTGTTTCATAGCATAACTGGATAAACCAGTTGAGAGATTTTTCTGATGCTAGATGCACCAATGCATTATTCAGTGGTAGCCACTAATTTTAGCTATGTTGTTTCTTTAGCATTTTAACCTATACTAGTATAGGCTTCTGAAAATGTTACTTAGGCATATTTTAGTTTCTGATAATCTTGGGTAGTGCTAATTGAAAAGCAGGTTTGTTTAATAAGAAGGATGGGATTTTTTGTTTTAACATTTGGCTTCAATCCACTTTGGGGTGAAGAAGGGACCCTTCCCCCTTCTCTTTTTTTTTTTTCCCCTCTCTGGGTGGGGAGAGACTTCCACCCCAGAAGAGCCAAGAATTTGAACTGGCATGTCTGATGTCTCTAATTGTATTGTCACTTATAAACTTTAATTTAGACTTTAGGAAATCTTTAATAGTACTTCTCATACTGGGAGGGGAAGAAATAAAGCACATAAACAGCCAGTACTCTGTGCATTCATGTTACAATTTTGGTTCTTTGAGAGAGTCACCACAGGTGATTAATTGTTGTTGTACTGCTAATCAAGGTGCATATTTTAAAAATTTGGAAAAAATACTCTATTTGCCTCTGAAAAATGTCTCTGCACAGCAGCACACTATTTTCCAGTTAATACAATGTTTGGACCTGAATCAAATTTATGAATTCGCAAAATAATAATTGGTCAACTGTAGTAAAGCTGTATGACTTAACATCACTTGAGTGGCAAGAATCTTCTTGCTGCTTAGCGTTTTCAGATTTATCAGTAGGCTGCTTGTATAGGTTGATAAGCTTAGTACCTTTTTTGTGAAAAGCCTATGTTTTTTGGGAGGAAACAGAAGCATCTTTTTTTCTCGTTGCATACATTTGTCACTTAATGGATTGTTATGGCATATTTCTACATGAATGGTTTATTTTTAAGGGCTTCATTGTTACTTCATATGTCAGCCAATATAGGGAGGAGGAATTACTATCCATATGGCTGGTTACCCCTTCCTAAGGATAATATGCAAGTACAGTTTCCTATTTTAAAAGCCTTCACTTCTATGGGGAAGCCTAAAAATGGTTTCTATTTAATAACTTTTCTCTAATCCAGCAGTATCTGTTTTCCACAGAAGTTCCTCACCTGGAGGTTATGGGGAGGCATGTGATTTCCAAGGACCTCTTAAACTTTGATCTTTTATGTAGCATCACAAACATGCATGCCCACCTGGTCTTCCCAAATATCTTTCTTGTTTTTGATTGATTTTTTGGTGTACTGAAATGATTCATAGTAATATTTTCTCTTAAAATATTTAAATTTAAAAAAATCAAATGTATTGGAGGTCTGTACTTTCTTCTGTGAGTAGCCGTTGGCCTAGTTTTCAAAATGATCTTGTGGACCAATGGGAAATTAAGTGAGCTGCCTTTTTTTTTCCTTGTCTTGAGTAATGGGACAAGCCACTATAGCAGTCTTAAGTTGGTGTGCTGTTTGCTGTAGTTCTGGGAAATATTTTCTGTTTTATAATAACGTAGTTGTCAATTTTACTTGTAGGACATTGGTGCTGGCAAAGGCAAGTACTATGCTGTCAATTTTCCAATGAGGGATGGCATAGATGATGAATCATATGGGCAGATATTCAAACCAGTGAGTATTGTCTAAATCCTGCTCCAGATGGTTGGTTAGCAGCTGTGTGGCTGAGTTCAAGACTTGGGGTTTTTTTTGTTTATAGATTATATCCAAGGTGATGGAGATGTACCAGCCCAGTGCCGTGGTATTGCAGTGTGGAGCAGATTCCTTGTCTGGTGATAGGTTGGGATGTTTTAATCTTACTGTTAAAGGTAAGCAATAGTGAACGTGCTCAAGGATTCACGGTAATGTTATGATGACTCTAATTCATGGAGTTAAACTTTTATTAGGGAGGAAAGGAGTTTCCATCCCCCCAAATTATCGAATAATGATTTGTGACGCCTGAAGTTTTAGAATGTGGGGTAATAGTTGCAATCTTGAGCTGAATTTAATATACATGGAGTAAAACAGGTCACTTTGATAGGGTTCTGTATACAATGCTGAACATTAAGCTAGCTGTATCCTTGAATTGTTGCAGTACTGAACTGAATAGTAAGCTAAGGTATATGTCCACATTTGGTCACATTGTCAAATTTTCCAGAACACCACTGGTTTTTGTTTCTGTATTTTTATGGGTGAGTGTTTAATGCTTTTTTTTCCACAAGCAAGCTTCCATGTTAGTACTAGCAAAAATGAGAGGAGGTAACTTCTAAAGTTTGCTAAATTCTCCGAATTTAAAAAGAACATGGGAAAGTTAAACAAGACCAGCACTTCATTGTTTTAAGAACTGCTGCGATACACTTAGCAAAATTAACAACTCAGTTAACATTTTCTTTAACATAATGGTTCTCATAAAGGATCTTCTCAACAATGTGACTTAAAGTAAGAGCATCGTTTTAAGACTAGATAAATCAGTGTTGTGTTATTTGACTTAGTGTCTAACCAGCTGGGTGGGTTTAAGCAAGTTGTTTTATGTCTACATACCTTACTTTTACCATATATAAAATGGAAACAGTGCTGTTCTGCTTTGTAAAGCAGTTTGAGATAGGTGATGAAAAGTGCTGTATAATAGCGGTCCTCAAAATGTGCTGTGAGTTTGAAATAACTAGAGGCTGGACCACTTTGCACCATGCCTATGGCTAGATCCCTCTAGGTGTGGATTCCTTAGTCTCAGCTGAGTCCTAGAGTATAAGTTACTGTAGTATATGTTAGGACCAGAACAGAACTAGAAAGGCTCATAGAACTGCAGCTTTGTCCTTTGACCCCTCCCCTCTTCATGCTGAGCTGAAAATCTGCCTTAGTTTCGTCATTTCCATGTTTTTTGAGAAGACATAAGTTTTAGGGCTGGTGATGCAAAAAAGGAGGATGGCTTAAGGAGTCTGAAAGAAGAGCTAAGGTAGAAATACTGAGCCTGTATTTGGTCTGTTTTGCACTTGCCAGGCTTAACATCATCTTTGGTTCAGCTGTGCTTAGTTCAGTGAAGAGCTAAATATTGTTCTGCCAAGGTTCAATTTTACCACTTTTATTAGATGCATGTAACTTACTAATAAGCAGCTAAGTTTTTCCTGTTCCCGTTGCATGATTTACATTTTTTGTGGGTTTTTTGACAGGTCACGCTAAATGTGTGGAAGTTGTAAAGACCTTTAACTTGCCATTGCTGATGCTAGGAGGAGGTGGCTACACTATTCGTAATGTTGCTCGATGTTGGACGTATGAAACTGCAGTTGCCTTAGATTGTGAAATTCCCAATGGTAAACATTAATTCTGAAAAGTATTCTTCTTTTTCAAATGTCTTGATAATGCTTCTCTTCTTTTCTGTTGTATTGTTTTTGGAATCAAACTAACTTTCTTAATATTTATCCAGTTCAGGTTGAAATGGGTAGCAATAAACTAGATTTTAAAACAGCAGTATTCCAATTCTGTTATGCAGAAGATGTTTTTCCAGTGCCTAGAATCCAGCATCTCTTAAGATACCGTGCTGCTTTGTTTAATCATTTTGACCTTGGCTGCAATAAGGTGTTAATAAATGCGCTGCTTTTCGCTTTTAGAAATTTAATATAATTTTTTTACCTAAAAAAGCCTCCCTAAAAACTTCTCCTTTGCCACTTTTACCTTGTGTCCACTCCTTGTCTACAGTGTTGCTACTGTTTTAGGCACTTGTACTATGGTGATAATCATAGTACTAAAACCCTACGAGCAACGCTCCAGAAATTTCTGTAATCTTGAATTGTGAGCTAATGCTGTATTCGTTTGAATATAAAACTTACTTTTTAGAACAGAAAAGTTCTAAAATGGCATGAATCTTAAATTCAGTGTTTTTATTCTGTTTTGCTTTAAAAAAAATTCTTACATGCACCATAGATTTGTCTTTTGATCTTTTATATTTGTCTTGAATTGGGAGCCAGAAGGTTTAGGGTGTCATATGTTCAAAGCAGCATGGTATCTTTCTGATTGCTTTTGAAAGGACTTACAGTGAAACATCAATCAGTTGTTGGCTTGGTTGTTTGCTCTCTCCAATTTAGTTTTGGAAGGCTTTGCCAATTCCAAAATTCTGCTTACTCTACACACTTTGTCCTAGGTTTTCATTACTGCTCTTCGACTTCAGTGCTAGTACTTTAAACTTAGTTATTGCTGCGAACAAATCCTGGCTCACTCTCCTTAGAAACTTCATAATTTTGTATTCGCTCTTCTCTGTGCTTTCTTTTTTGATTTTGCCAGCATTTGAAGAAATAAAGGAACATAACATTGTGTACATATAGTTGAGGTTGTGCACCAGTTAAGGTGCACTTGGTGCACATTACCTTGCTCTTGTCAACGTTTGAAGTTCATTTGTCATTTTTTGCCCACTCACTTAACTTGGTCAGATCTTTCTTTCCTCTCCATCAACTTGGGACTTTACTGCAATACCTCGGTATTCTCTACAAATTTTGAGATTTTACTATGCACCCCCATTTCCAAATTATTGGTGAAAATGTTGGACAAAATTTGGACTCCACTCTTGACCCCCCATTCCTGAAAAGTGACCATATAGTTTGCTGCCCTACCCCTTGCTGATTATCTTTTAGCAGCTCTCAGTCCATGAAAATACCTTACCACCAATCCCATGGAAGTCTAGTTTTTTGGTGAGGAACATTGTCAAAAGTCTTTTGAAATTCCAAATATATTATGTCAAGTGGATTCTCCTTATCCACATGCTTGTTAACACCCTGAAAGAACCCTAGCTGATTGGTGAGGCAGGATTTTAAAAACCATGCTGACTCTTCCTCAGCAGATCCTATTTGTCCATGTAACTACTGATTTTATTCTTCACTATAGATTCTACCAACTTGCCAGGGATGGAAATGAGACTCACTGGACTGGTTCCCAGGATCACTTCTGGAGCCCTTTTTGTAGATGGGAATTATGTTGGCAACCCACCAGGCCTCTGGTACAGAAGCCATTTGTAGGTTGTATAGGTTACATATTGTTGCCACTGCCAATAGTTATGCACTTTCACTTTTTGAGTTCCTTCAGAACTCTTTGGTGAATACCATCCACTCCTGGGGCCTTATTAGTATTTAGTTTATCAGTTCTTCTGTTGTCACTTCAGTGTGATCTAACTCTTCAGATCTATCTGTTAGGAAAAATTGCTCTGGCAAGGGAATTCCTCCACTTATTTTCTGTAGTAAACACTGAAACAAAGAATTTGTTCAGCCTCCCTACTGTGGCCTTATCTCCATTCATCAAATGGGTCCCACCAGTTTCTTTAGCTGGCTTCCTTCTTGTGATGTATTTGAAAGTTTTTATGGTTAACTGTAGCATTTTTTGCTAGCTGTTTCTCATTCTTTTTGGCCTTCTTATTTCACTTTTATGCTTGACCTGCTAACATTTGTGAGCTTTCCTGTTTTCCTCATTTGGGACATACCTTTTTTTTTTTAAGGCTGCCTTTTTGCCTTGAATGGCCTCCTTAACTCTATTATTAAAACATGCCAGAGTTTTGTTGGACCATATGGTACCCTTTTTGATTTATAATACTGAGGAACTTCAGGCAAATCCTTCAGGTTCATTGGCATAAATCAGAGGAATGTTGGGCCCTGTCTTGTGGATGTGTCAACGTCAGAAAAATCTCCCAATCTGAGTTGTCAGTTGCATGGTATTGGTAAATGGCTTCCAAGCTGCCTGCAGGCCTTTTACATTTTTGAATATTTCTTTAGACTGTTAATTAACTTCCTGACTTTTTTGTTTCATTTTCCTTCCTAAAGTTGGCTCCCTCTAGTTTTTGGTCCCTCTCTCTAGAACACTGAATGCAGTTATGTTGTGGTCGGTATTATAGCGTGGCTGACCAACAGATATGTCTTGAACCAAGTCCTGTGTGTTACTTAGGATTTGGTCTAGAATTGCTTCTCCTCTTGTGGGTTCCAAGATGAGTTCTAGAAAGCAGTTGCTTATCACATTGAAATATTTTATCTCCGTATCTCTCCCTGATGAGGTGTTTACCCAGTCTGTGAGGGTAGCTGAAGTCTCCTGTTATTGCTGCTTGTCCCATTTTAGCACCTTCTCTAATCTCCCTGACTATTTCATAATCACCTTCACCTTCCTGATCAGGTGGTTAATAGCACAGTCCTAGTATTCTCTTTAATACAGTGCAAATTTTCTACCCTCGGGGATTCTGTGGTAGTTTGCCTTTCAGATAAGATTTTTTTGGTGGTACTGTTTATTATCCTGAACGTAGTGTCATTCCTCCACCTGCACATCCTGTTCTGTAATGGTTTGTAATCTATAAGCAGTCATCAGTATTTTGTCTTCTCACGTAATGATGGAAGTTGTAGAAATTTTGACTGATTGTCTTAACATTGCCTCAGCTACAGTATTTCTCTGTTCTCCATTTTATGTCTAAAAAAAATCAAATTTCATTTTCAGTGTGATGTCAATACTACAAGCCTTATATTTTGTGTGTGTGTCAAATGTTTGGCAGTGGCACTTCTTAAAATCTTTCATTAACCTGTGGGTTGTACAGATAAGCTGTTTAAGTAGTTGAAGTATTTTTTTTTCTTTTTAATAGAGTTGCCATACAATGACTACTTTGAGTATTTTGGACCAGACTTCAAGCTGCATATTAGTCCATCAAATATGACTAACCAGAATACACCAGAATATATGGAGAAGATCAAGTAAGTAATTCTCCCCTATCTTGAGTGAGTCATGTAAAGTCCATGTAAAAGTAGCTTTTTGTATACATGCTGTTTTCACATAGGTGGAGATGATAAAGTACACTATAAAGCTCCGCTTATATTTTTTTTCCTCTATTGTAAAAGAAGTCTGCAACTGCATCTGCAGCATCCATAACTAGGAAACACGTTTGAAACCACAGATGCTGTTACAAGATATGTGATAGTTGATAACTGTTCCACTATAAAAAGTTACTTTGCTTCCTGCTCTAATCTGTGCAAGTCTGGACCCTTGAAGAAAGAACCAGTTATTGTTAGGTGTCTTGAACACAAACTCGCACTGCCCCTTTTGTGGCTGCTGCTTTAAATTGGCTGGGCTGCCATAAAGCAGGAAAGGACCCAGGTAGTGGTGCATGGGCTTCGCTGCTGATTCCTTACTTCTGTAACTCCCCAGTAGGTAAATACACCACGCTTCCCAGAGTTCAAACATTGAAGAGTCTCAAAGCTTAGGGCAGGGTAGGCAACATTTTTTGACCAGAGTGCTCAAAAACACCATAATGCCTACCTCCGAAGGTACCGGAGTGCTGGCATGGCAGAGAAACAAAATGAGGGCAAGGGGTAAATGGCAGGATGCCCTGCTTGTGCCCCTTGCCCCCAACCCAAAGCCTCTGCCCCCCCCAGCCCAGGCTCTGTGGCAGCCAGCAGCTACCCTGGGTCTGGGTAGCTGCTTGAGCCCAGGCTGCTCTGAGCAGGGCTTGCAGCTGCCTGCTGGGAGCAGCCCGGGATCCTGGCTGGCAGCAGCTCTCCAGAGCTGCAGCGGCTGCAACCAGGAGGCTCCAAACAGCTGTGCCGGGATCTGGTACCAGCTCCGCACTGGCGCGAGCAGGCGTGCCTCCCGGCACGGAGGCGATGAGCCTGACGCAGCTGTTTGTAGCCAGCCCAGGCTCTGGGCAGCTGCAGCAGCAGGCTGGCTACAAACAGCTGGGCCGGGCTCATCACCTCCATGCCGGGAATGGGGGAGAGACTGGGGCTGTGCTGCCTCAGGCCCCACCCCCACCGCCCGCTCCAAGGTGTGCCTGCTCACACTGGTGCAGAGCTGGTGCCGGAGCCCGGCGCAGCTGTTTGGAGCCTCCTGGTTGCAGCCGCCGTGGCTCTGGGGAGCTGCTGCCAGCCGGGATCCTGGGCTGCTCCCAGCAGGCAGCTGCAAGCCCTGCTCGGAGCAGCCCGGGCTCTGTCGCTGGCAGCAGCTTCACGGAGCCGGGGCTGGCCACGGCGTGCCAAGCAAAATGGCCTTGCGTGCCATGCTCGGCACACGTGCCAGGGGTTGCCAACCTGTGGCTTAGGGTATATTTCAGCTAGCACGTGTGGTACTTAAAGTAAACCGACATACATTTTTAACGGTTCCTAATTCTGTTGTCTCTTGAAACAGACGGATGCTACCTTGAAAGCTAAGTACTGCTTTCTTTATACTCCCAGTTTAGGGTACAAGGAATAAACAGATTAAAACAAAATAAGAGTAAAATAATGAATATGGTTTCTCCTCCAAAACGTGGAGTGAGTCTATCTGTCTCCATAACACGTTTTCTTTTTCTCTCCAAAATGGCCAGACAGAGACCCATTCTTTTATAACCTCCTGTTCCATTTGTCAAATGACACCCTGTTTACTCATATAAAGTGGTCAGAATTCCTGCCTATTGCTGCCAATTTGCTTAGTTTACCACTTCATGGCTCAAACTGATTTGCCCTGGGATTCTTAATTTGTTCTTTGTTAAACTTTGATTCAATACTCCATTGTTAGCCTTTTGTTGTTTCCCTGGATCTATCTGAATATAAGGGTAAAAGATTACTGAGCAGTCTGTTAAAATGAAGATGCATTTAAAGTTCCTAATGTCAGGCAACTTCCCTAAATCATTGTGTGGAGCTATTAATGTAATAAAACATAGCCTTAGCCTGCTTTTATTTAGAGCCTGTTTTTATGATTCTGTTTTTAAAAAGTGAGCATCAACAGTATTAATTTTTTTTCCCCATGACAAACCAGGATAACAGTGTTGAGACAGTGTGCTACTTCATTCATGAGTGTGTGTGGTCTTTGGCACAACTTGGCTGTCAAAGACAAGAATGTCCCAGTATTTGATATTACTTTGAGGGGCATTTTGAGTAAACAGTGTATATTGATCTGGCTATTCTGCAGGTTTTATAATTCTGCTTCATATCTGTTTGAGAATTTCTTACAAGTGGATTGAAATATAAAATAGTAAACCCTTCTAAATAAAGGATAATTGGCAAGCGTTTCTTTGGTGCCTAGGATCTCTATCCCAACACCTAAACCTTTTAGACTTGAGGCACCCCTACATAACTTCTGTGAATCAAGCAGATCCCCTTTTAAAAAAAAATGGATTTATTGCCGTGCTACCTCCTTACAGAAAGGTTAGGTAGTAAGTGCAGGTCAGCAGCCAGGCAGGGGCAAACCTGAGCCTGCACTTACGGCTCCTCTCGCCTCACGGCACCCTTCAGAAAATCTCGGGGCACTCCAGGATGCCCTGGCACTCTGGTTGATAATTGCTGACTTAAACACTCCTTTTTTTTAAGACCCCTCTCAGAGATCCAATTGAGTTGGACTCCATTATGAGAGTTGTGCAGACTTCAAATCCTGGTCCCCCTGATTGTGCTACAGAGTGGCAGAAGGCTAGGATTTTCTGCAAATGGAGTGAATGCAAATGCAGGCAGGAAAAGGCTTTATCACTGGGGAAGGCTTTATCAACTGACTTGAAGTCAGAGCTCTCTTTCTGACCAAACACTTCTAACTAAAGTAAAGAAGGACTGCTTTTATGAAGATGTGATAGTGTAAGAGTGATGTTGTAGTTGTAATGGTCCAGAAATTGTGAGAGGAGCAAGGATTTCTTCGGTGACGCCTTTTATTGGATCCAACTACGTAGTTGTGATAGTCAGACAAGCTTTCAAATGCAAGATATTCTTCCTCAGGTGTGACGTTTACTCTAACAGAGGGAATGTAGAAAACCTGCTTCCTCATTGAGAGAGAACTTCTCTAAAATAATCCCTTTTTCTCTTAAAATGTATTTGTAATTTAAAATCCCTAGTTCCCGTCCCTTTAGAGAATTGAGATCTTAAGTGTCTTTAAAGGGCCTTGAGTCATTTGTAAAGGGCTTATTAGATTTGTATTCCTGGGAAACATTATTTTATGTTAATGGAACTGTAGAAATATCTTTTTTGTAATGCTCATTCATTAATTCAGGTTTTGTGTGCAAGGATTTAAGTATCATTAATATACCTTGGTGAAATTCAGCAATGATTGTACACACCGTTTCCCTTCAGTATATGAAATTAATAAGTATGCATTTTCCCTTTCGAAAGCTAGCTTTTCTGAACCAATTAGTAACTCTAGACATGAGAACTTTCCTTAACCACCTCCCAGATGGCATGGAGGTAAAATGCTGATTCATGATGTAGCATTTACTTCTGAATTTATTCTTTGTTGTATTTTCAAGTGCTAAGAAACTTTCTGGTTGTTTGTTGCAGTTTGCTAGTGGTTTGTATTTATGGTGTCTCTGACCAGCCTCTAATAAGGGAAAAATCTTGCTCCTGGCTCTACAAAGAAAAAGCTCGATTTGCTTTTTAACAATAAGAAAGTTAAAAGAAAAATAAGAAAACATATACTTTTAAAATGGTTATAAGGCTTAATTCACATACTAGTTTTACATTCAAATCAAAATATCAAGAATCTGCAGGAAAGACTACAACTCTATATATTAGAATGATCTTCTATATGTTGTTTCACTTGCAGACAGCGTTTATTTGAGAACTTGCGTATGCTACCTCATGCACCTGGGGTACAGATGCAGGCCATTCCTGAGGATGCCGTTCATGAAGATAGTGGAGATGAGGATGGAGAAGACCCAGACAAACGCATTTCTAGTAGGAAATGTTATCTTTAGTCATAATGGGATATGCTTTCAGAGTAAAGCCTCTTTAAATGTGCTTGTCCAGATCCTCACTCCTGTTTTGGCTGTCTTTTGCTACTCCCAGGGCATAAAGATGGCAGAGAAGCCCCTGTAGACATCCTTTTTATTCCTACATAGGGGAGCATGATGAGAATAGGGTACCCCTGTCACCTGGAAAAGCTCTTGAGCATTTAAATGCGCTTATGCCCATTAAAGGTTCTTTAACCAAAGTTTGAACCACCAGAAAGCTGCTTTGATTTATTTTGCAATCTGGCCTGGCATCTGGTTGGATCGAGGACCAGAAGCCTGGAGGAGGCACCCTTCTGCCTTGTGCATCAAGCGGAGTTAGGTAGGCTGGAATATTTGGCCACAGAAGTCTCCCCAGCACTACCACAGGTATTGTTTGAAGGCTTGTCCCTCCAGAAACAACACTTTAAAGTGAATCAATATAGTTCCTGCAACAAAACAAGATTTACTTTTTCAACATTCTGTGTCTGGGACATTTTATTTTTGATCAGTCTCCCTGAGAGGTGTTAGAGCACTCTTAAGTCACAACAGTAGTTTTTGTTTTTTATAAGTTGAATGGATAAGAGAGGACTGTTCATTTAATCTTCCATGATACTAGTTGTGGTAATTCCACAGCTGCTTCTAGCACCTTTCTCTTCCTGAACTCTTATAATTATAACGCACTTATGCAGTCACTTCCAAATTTTTCAGTACTTGCTTAGCAATGCCAAATAGTTGGTTTTGAGTTTGTCTTGTAAGCTTTTCTTGTTAATTTGTGTTAAAAGAGAACCCAAGAGTATCCCCATATTTGTAGAACAGTTTTCCTCTACCTCTTTTAGAAAACCATCTCTGTGGTAACAAGTTGGTTTTGTTCTTTTCTGTGTTTGCTTAAAACCAGTTTTGTGGTTTTTCCTTTTTGACATACTGTAGTTGAACCACCCTGACGATTACAGGTGTTAATCTTTTAACATTTGAATCCTAGTTCGAGCTTCTGATAAGCGGATAGCCTGTGATGAAGAATTTTCTGATTCTGAAGATGAAGGGGAAGGTGGACGACGAAATGTTGCAGATCATAAGAAAGGAGCAAAGAAAGCCAGAATAGAAGAAGACAAGAAAGAGACAGAAGATAAAAAAGCAGGTAAATGCCTTAATATTGTTTTCACCCTACCATTTCTACCAGCTGAGTGGGAGTTAGTTTAAAGCAGTGATTCCCCACCACCAGACCACGACTTATGCCACTGGCAGGCACATGTGGAGTTAAAGCTGGGCAGTAGGGCAGCCCTGGGAGGGAGGCAGCCAGCTCTGTTTCCCCTGTCCCGCTCCTACCACCATGGCTGTGCCCAGCAAGGTGCTGCCTGTGCACCGGGTACTGGGGCCCATGCTGGGCCAGGCAGGACAGCCCTGCCTGCGGCCTGGAGCTGGGGGATGCAAGTGGGAAAATGCCTGGGAGAGAGGTCGTCTCTGCTGCTTTGTCCTAGGAAAGGCAGCAGAGCCCCTTCTTCCCTGGCAGCCCCATCTGGGTCCCACCAGGCCACCGCCTGCGCAGCCCTGCAGGCTCCCCTGGTGCCTGAACCCAATCTGATTCTTGAATCCTGCTTCTCTTCTCCTCCTCCCCCCCCCCCCCCCCCCCAAAAAAAAAAAATTAAATAAATGTAAGTATTAGATAGTTTGCCTGTCTGCAGTATAAAAAGGTTGGGAACCTCTGGTTTAAAGGGTGTCCTGATGGCAGAGGGGTATGCTCCTTGTACTTGTATACTAGTACAAGGAGTTAAGTCTTCTGCAGTCAGAGTGGAAAAAGAATTAAATTAATCACACACATCTACTTTAGCTTTTTCGCTAGAACTCTTCCTACTGAAAACAGTTTTTCCAGTGAAAATTATTCTGAATACCAAACTTATTGCCCCTGTGTTTTCAAATACTAAGGTCATTCATTTGTATGGTATGGAGGAATAGGGTTCTGGATAGCTGGTACCATCACCCTAAATTCTCTTATTTGCATTTTATTAATCAAAATATAATGTAGGGATCAACAGCTTGTACTTGGTTATATTTATGTAAGTCTTTAAAAATTCTTGACTTTTTTTGAGTCTTGTCAGATATTTCAAACCTGATCTTTTTTTCCCCCTAATTATTTTAGATGTGAAAGAGGAGGATAAATCGAAGGACAGCAGTGGTGAAAAGACAGACACCAAAGGGTAAACCCTAATTAATTTAATGCATAACTTTTTTTCTTCTTTGGAGACCACTCACTAATTTCTACATGCTAATTGTACAAACGCTATTCTCTATTTAGAGGCTGTAAATTAGCATCAGGAGTTGCTAAATAATTTAAAATGTGACAGTGGTAGCTACAATTACATCTTTACAGCAGTTAATCTAAAAGATGCTCTCAAAATGAAATGACTTAACAGTTCATATTTTTGCCTTTTGAACAGAGCAAAATCGGAACAGCTCATCAATCCTTGAATTAAAGATAGCCTCACACCAATTACAGAACATAATGCTAGAATGCGAAAATACTAAAAGAAGAAAAGTTTTCATATTGAGAGAGACTGCTGATTTCATTTTGTACTATTTGGCATGGACCGTATTTATTTTCAAACGGCTTTGTTTTGGTTTCTGGCAAGTTGTATTGTGAGTTTTCTAATTATGAAGCAGAAATTCCTTTCTTCACCATGCTTTATGTAATAGTATTTAAAATGGATGTGAGTTATTATGTTAAATGTCTAAACTGATCTATTAAAGTAATTTGCCTTTCCTGAGCTGATTTTACCTTTTTTGTAATTTTATCTTTATTAAAAAAATTGTACTTTGTTGTCTTTTGTCCATCATTGCATTATATAGAAAGCATCTCCATTTTAGATTAAAGATCACCAAATAGTATATAAAAATGTTTGAGTTGATGGGAAATTTCAGAGTTTTTGTAATAGGATGAACTTGGGGGAGGGGGGGTGAGGGGCAGGGGCTTAATGTACCTGTTTGACTTGCATGTTACATGAACCATTAAAAAAATTATCAGGGATGTAAATGTTTAGTAGCTGCAGCGAAGAATGAAAAAGTGATTAGTGATGTGTGGATAGGTGAAAGTGATATCTGGATGCACAGGGTTATTCTCCTATAGTGGTGCTTGAATTGAAATGAACCCCTGATACCCTAACAGCAGTCAGTCCAGCAGCCTAGTTTAATTGTTCATCATCATTCATCTGTATTACCTCTTTTGGAGCCTTTGAGAATAAGGATCTCTGAAGGACTATGAATTTCATAGCCCATTCTGACCTTTAGAGCTCACAATTAATTGTATCCCTCTTAAAGAAAGTGTCTTCTCCCCTCCTCTCTTCCCCTTCCACTTCCCTTCCCCTGCACTTGAATGATTGGTTAGTAAACTCATACCTGAATTGAAACCCACTTATATAGGTTCTTTTTTTTTCCAATGAAAAACTTGGTTAGGTTGTTTCATGCACCTCTCTCCAAGTATGCTTTGACATCAAGATATCAGTAGTGCACTAGAAGACCACTGTTGTTAAACCTTGCAAAGCAGTGTTAATTTGTGTTGGTCTCTTTTTTTTTTTATACATCATTACTTTTTTTTCATTTCTCCTTTTCGCCTCCAAAGATACTACATTTCAACTTTGTGGTCTAATTCTCATTGACTTATGGTTGAAGCCTTACCACTAGTAAGACTTATTGTATTTATTGTACATTAGGTATCTTTGTATATCTTTTCATTATGCCTTTTCTGGACGGCTTATAGTGAAGGTGGCATCATGAGCATTTTTACTTGCTTTCGCTGCGGAATTTTTGAAGGTAATAGCTACCCTGTGTCTCAGACTGAAGTACAGAAGAAAACTGGTGCAATTTTCACCCCCGTCTTCCTAGCCATTTTTTCAACTTGTTGCACCAAGTGGACAGTTTATATGAACTATTTGGATATTTTGAACCAAACTTCTCAAAAATATTTAAAGGTCTAAAGATGAAAAAAGGCACCTTCTTGAAGATTCCAGGGTAGGTGATTGTACCACCTCTGGAGGGAGTTTATTCCAGAGTCGGAACACCTTAGCTGTGAAGAAGTATTTCCTAGAGTTAAGCCTGAAACAGTCTTCCAGGAGTCTGTGGCCATTACTCCTGGTTTTCTCCAAGGGTGCCCTGGTGAACAGTTGTTCACTGAGCCCTTGATGTATGCCCCGATGTAGCGGTACCTTGTACGGCTTGCTTTGCAAGTCTCTGATTTATACAGATGGCTCTTCTCTGGACTCTCTTAAGTTTTTCCGTGCCTTTGATCAAGTTGCAGGTCTTAATCATGTTGACCACTCTTCTTAATAAACATTTTATGGTGTTAATTTGCTAGCATCGTGCCTGACTGAACAAGGTTATTTTATACTTTCTTTTCTATGCTTTAGCCACAAGATGGCAACTTTCTGTAATTCAAATTCCTCATTGCTTTAGATACCGTGGGAATGAATCTCTCTTAATTGTCCTTTTATAGTAAAATTATTATAAATTATGTCAAGATGTGTGTTAAGTGTCTGCATTAATTTATGGATGACAACTTGACATTTTGCTCCTAGAATCCAAGAAAAAAAGATTTGGTCTTTACTCTGCTTTCCGAGGGAATGCTGTCATAGCATTTTGGTATATCAAGTAGTTTATTTCCCAGGCTGTCTGCTCACTGGGCTTTGGCAGTGCTTGATATCTGAAATATTTCTTCTTTCTTTCCTTAGTTTAGGAAGAAATATTCCTTTGGGGAAGAACTGTGCCTGCATTGCCTGCTCCAAAGTTAAATATGCTAATTTGTAATGCTACGTTTAAGCTTCACTTGCTGCAGAATACATGGATTATTTTGCTTTGTCTATATATATAAAGCTGTGGTTACTGGGCCTTGTGATGCTATATCCAGTCAGCACTTCATCTAAGAAACTACATGAAGCTCAATCATCATTTAAATGTAATGGGTGCCACTTGAGGTTTATAATTCAATTTAATAGGGACACAGATGGTATAATGGTACCTCTTCTGTCTCCTATCTATTGTCTCCTCCCCTCTAACAGCTTATTGAACTTATTGTCTCCCCCGTAGCTGGGCTTATTGTCTCCTCCCCTCTAATAGCACGTGCTCTCCATCCATAGCTGTGACAAGCATTTGGATAGTTTCACTGTTATCTGCTGCTGGTTTAAAATATGCAAATACACGCAATGCTACTATGTGAAGTGACTTCCAGATGCCTTTTCAGATTATTCCTGGACAGTAGTAGAGCAGTGTCTTCACTTCAGGACCCAATTAGCAAACATGATTTTTAATTTGACATGACTTGGTCATTGGTTATTTGTTTGGGGATAAGAGGCTACCAACAAAAGGACCTGCCTGC